ACACTGGCGTTAACATTGTTACATTGTATCAACGTAATCTCAACGCAACTTTGAATGAAATGTAAATGCTGCCTTCAATCTAGAAAATACTATCGCAAAACGTTTGGAAATAATACATTTAACGGCAGAATACGTCCTAGCAATAAAATAAAGTGACTTCTAAAGACTGAATGATTTTTGCGAACTTCGTATACGGTGCCCGGTTTTAGGTATAAACCGACGTTAGCTTCACGTCCATGTCCTGCCAACAGACGAAAACATATTGCTTGTTTATTTAGCAGCTTGTTTTCATTGGCGAGTGCCATGGAGGCGCAACCATCAACATCGAAGTACCAGGAGGTTTCTGTTGGAGAAGGTGCGGCGTTACCCAGTTCCAAATAAAAATTACCAACGTCAAATGAGCAAAATTTTAACCGGTAATCAAGATTCATTCAATCCACGGCTAACAAGCTACATCACAAGCGAAGTTGTAGCGTGCAGCTCAGCGACGACCGCTGTCGACGAAATTCGTCCTGTCAGTGGAGTACCGCAGTAGCATGGTATGTTTGCCAATGCAAATTCTGTGGAGGAACTTTTACATTGTAACAACCAACAACAATTTATTAACTCATAACAACCTACTGAAGGAGGTTAAAGGTTACAACAACAACAAAAATTACAGATACAAATTAATCAAATTACACTGGCTAATAGTTTAAAGACAACCAAAAACAGACTAAATTGAAGTTAGTAACGGAAATATATAATAAAGTAAAATGAAACACCAACAAAAAACCCTTCACCATTGTATTCAAACGAATCACGTGGTGTGTCGTCGTTCTACTTCAAACCCGGCATTCGATCAATTTCAGTAAAAAAACATCGCAAATCGTGCAAATTCAACATCTTCAAACCAGTATACTAAAACAGAAATGCTCAACAATGCAAAAGAAGGCCTAGGATAGATATTACTTTTCAGTATACACATCTCTGTTGATACTATCCCTCACATATTCTACTCCCAATTATTCCTGCGTAAAATGGACTAGCCTCTTTTCATGTTGACATTCAGAGTAAAATCACGTGACAGGCTGTTAAAATTGGCTGTTGCATACACTTTCGCCGGTCTGGGAAATGTGTTTAATTAGCTCTCATTCAAGCAACAATGCAGATTTCCCAATGGGAGTGAAACTATTCGACTTTGCCATTAACAAATAAGGGTGTTTTGAGCAAAAAACGAATAACCCTGGAGTGCACACAACACACTAAATTTCGGAACAAATCTTGTATTATTTACAGCAGCAGAATACCACAGAAATATCAGATGCAACATGGAAACACTATATATTGTATTTCGGCCTGAACTCCTCTATTGCAATTCCAGGAATTACCCCCATATGTGTATCCATTTTCCACTTTGGTATCACCCTACCCTGAAAACAAACTGAAGCGTTTGGTAATAAAAGAAATATACAATAGGAAAGAAACATACTGAGCTATAAACCGAGCTATACCGAGGTTATAAATAGAGCAGTCAAATTTCTATCCGCCATTTTGTAAAAAAACACAGACATGGAAGCATCTACTCGTAACCCAAATGTAGAATTTCAGTCGAAAGACGGCATAATAAATGGGATAAGACAAGTTATCGACAATTCGGGAGTTATAGCTCAGTCACACATGCGTAGTTATCGGTATTTCGATACCCGCGATTATTATTCGACCATCGTAAGTACGGGGATGTACTCATGTCGGCAAAGTTTAACGCATTGTAATGACAGCCATTTGTTCTGGCTTGGAAGTGGCACGGCAAACATTCTCTTGTCGGGTTTGAAATTCACCTGTGACTTTTTTTCTCATGCTATCGATTATTTCAACAAAACTGGGCATTCTCCTAGCTCTAAGAGAGATAAGCATAGACAGGCAAGCATTGCATTTGGTCACTTTGAAAGACTTCGACGGCCTATTTACGATTTTATCAACAACGAAATGTCGACTGATGAGTTGTCTAGCTTGTATCAAAATTTACTGGACGAGTTCAAAGAGCTGGAAATAAATAACGTTGCATATGATCTATCGCATTTATGGTTTGAAGACAGAGAAGCCATCAGGAGACGTTATCCACGTAGCAATTTATTAAATCTGGCATAAACCAGTCATTCCATATGAAAGTTGCTGGTTGTAACTTTAGCGACTTCAGTGCTGATCTCCCTGGAGACAGTGTTGCATCTAATAAATAAATTCACAAATTCCACGTATTACAATCCAAACGAACGTGATCAGTGACCAAACGATTGGCACACTTGTTATGTTGGAAATAGGTAATGTTTATATCCATAGTTGCGCAAGTACTGGCTGTTAGGGTTGGATCATTTGATTTTTGAGGGGGGGGGGGTCAGCTCAGTGAAAGGCACA